CTTATATTGTGAAGACAATACCATCAAACTGGGTGCCCTGTTTTAAATCAGCTAGTTGGTATAAGTAGCACATCAAGTTTTAATCTCCTTTTTAATCAGAGGTATACTACGAAGCCTTTTCTAACAGATTCTCATTCCCATTTTTAAATGAAGTTTTTATTTGTCCTTCTTGACAGGGTAAGAAACCTATTCTGTGTTTCAATTATAGATCCCATTTTCTTGATAAATGTAGACCCAAAGAGTTTAACAACGTTGTTGCCCACAGATTACAGTTCGTACTTGTAACCATAATATATTTTGTAAAGCTGGATTTCTACAGGGCCATGAACATTCTGCTAATACTAGATATTTAATAAATGCAATAGTTTTATCTCAAAAGACAGAATCCAGCAGCTATTACTTCTTTAGATGGAGGGAAAGCTTTTGATATGATTTAACACACTACAGATTATCCAAAAGTTCCATGTTTATTCAATCTTGAAATGATGAATTATGGTCAAATGTGCGCTATTTCCTTTTGACAGTTATAATGTACTACAAGTAAAGGATGTCTTCTCTCTCTCTTACATCACATATTCCACTAAATGTATATTTAGCACATTTCAGAGAACTTTCAAAGCGATGGTTATTAACTAAATACAATTTTCAGTCTCGTCTCAAGATTTTGTTGTATGTCATAGCATGTTGGTATCAAATAAGATCTCATTTGAGTTTATTGTGCTGATCTTGTAGGCACATATTTAGTTTTCTCACAACAATATGGAAGTAGTTGGACATTTCTTTCTTCTGGAATTTCTTTTGACTCCCCCCAGTCTAGCCTACCACCCTAACATTTCCTGGTGATATCCTATCCAAGTACTCAAGTCAAACCCTGCTTAACTGTTCAAGATCAACCAAGGTTTGTCAGGTATTACTACCTAGCTGCTGTTCATAATATACAAGTCTGTTGCCATGATCCATTGACTGATCATGTGCCATCAAGTCGTTTTCAACTCCTAGTGACCACACAGACAGATTTTCTCCATGACGATTCATCCCTAACCTGTTCTTTCAGGTCTCCCAATGGTGCATTCACTATAAGCGAGTCCATCCACCTTGCCACCATGGGGACTATACAAAAAGGTTTTCAAAAGTCACACAGTCTGTATAT